GATAATGAATTGAGCTGCACGTTAGAGCATTGGAACCCATTTGAGGGGTCCCAAGCACTGGTACACTCCAAAACTCCCCTGGCACCTGCCTAACAGCAGGGTTTGCCCTTCCCCTTAAAAAAAAGTCAGCCTCCAGCGGCAAGTATCACCTGTTTTCTGAAGCAAAAAACAATCAGCTCAGTGTCCCTATCATTCTGTGGCTGCCTGACTATGTCCACCAAGGCCTGCAAGTGACAATTACAAATATGACTTGGCTCTGCCACTCCAAGATCATGTGCATCTCTTAACAGTGTGCACGTTGAGTGTGAGCAAGAATGGAAAGCAACTGGTACAGCCCATGCTCTTGGGCAACTCCAGCCCAAACGCTGGCTCTCTATAGGGCCACAACATGAATAAAGACAGTGGGTTGCCACCGGAGAGGCGCGCGACCGCTGGTTTTCAGCAGCACAAGTTTACTTACTCCCCCAGGAGATAAACCAATGTGGCTGCCAGGGAACACCTGGGACAAAATGTACTGGACCTGCAATGACAAACCAGAACCCTCCAGTCTGAGGGCAGCTCAACTATCCACCCTGAGCTCAAGTCATCACATGTATCTTTTGGAGGAACAAAAGCCAACTGAAGGAAGAAGGCTTTAAAAGACAGGCGGTTTTGTCAGCTGGGTGAGGGCAAAGTAGGGCATATATGGGATTTTAACACCTAAGTTCAGTATTCTCTCAGCTGGGTTTCCCCAGGACCAATCATTTAGTTATCCCACACTTCAGTTTCCCTACCTTCAAGGTTGAGAAGTCAACATACTGAATGTACCAACATGCTGGTTACTGACTGCTCACAGAGATCTAAAGCCTGCAGACACTAATCAAAATGAACTAGTTCAGGGCTGGGGTGGCTGCACACACTTTTAATCCCAGCATTCAAGAGGCAGGTAGATCTCTGTGAGCACAAGGTCACCTGCTCTACATAGAAAATTCTAGTCTACCTGTGTGACATAGTGAGACTCTGTCTCAAAAAAAGAGTTTGTTGTGAAAATTAAGCAAAACAAACGTCAATATGGTGTTTGCCATTCAAATGTCAGTTCCTATGACCACTTCCTCAAAAAGACAGTCTCTGAATCCCCATCAAAACCCAGTGTGTTCTCAGACCCTCCAGGCAGCAGATGGCTCAGGGGTAAAAGCACTCACCTAATGACCTGAGTCGATCGCTGACTTTTCCATGTAAGTACACAAACCATCCTCTCTCTCTCTCTCTCTCTCTCTCTCTCTCTCTCTTCTCTCTCTCTCTCCCTCTCTCTCCCTTCTCCTTCCCTCCCTCCCTCCCTCTCTTCCAACTGGCATGAAGACAGAGAAATATCCATGGAAGAGAAACAAACCCACATGAAGTTCAAGTGCTTTTCAGGCTCCCCAGCAGCAGTGCTAGAGCAACTGGACAGCCACAGGAAAGAGCTAGCAGGTACCCATACTTCACACAACAATGAATTACTGGCATCTGCAGGAATGAGGAGCGTGTGTGTGTGTGTGTGTGTGTGTGTGTGTGTGTGTGTGTGTGTGTGTGTTGCGCACCCATACATACAAAATCAAAATAAATAAACCTTTATAAAGAAAGAGGGAGATGGGCAGTGGCGGTGCACACCTGTGATCCCAGCAGGGAGAGTCACATGAATCCCTGGAAGTTTTGAGGCCAGCATGATCTAAAGAATGAGTTCCAGAACAGGTTTAAAGCTACAGAAAGAAACCCTGTTTCGAAAAACCACAGAGAGAGGAAAAGAGGAGGAGGAGGAGCCAGATGGTGGTGGCGCACGTCCCAGCACTCGGGAAGAAGAGGCAGGAAGATCTCATGAGTCTGAGGCCAAACTAGTCTACAAAGCTAGTTCTAGAACAGCCAGAGGTGTTACATAGAGAAACCCTATTGGAAAATAAAAAAAGAAAGAAATCAGAACTGAATTGACATACGGCATCCCACAAAAAATGACACAGATTAAAAGGACTAGCTGTACTAAGTTTGGTGAAGATATGGACAAGCTGGATGCAACTCTCAGAATATGGTCAGAAAATAAATAGCAGAAGCACTTCTGCACACAGGCTGCAAGTGTCTGTAAAAAGTCAAATACAGCATTCAACCTGCAGAGATGGTCGCTGAAGAGGGATGAAACCCTGCTGGCACCTTTCCAAGAGCATTCGAAATGTCACATGTGAGTGACAAATTCTAGAAACAGTCAAAGGTCTGTCAAAAAGGGTAAATAAGTAAGCTGCCCTACGATGGAATGCTTCACAATTAAGCAGTAACAAGTAACTGAACTCTCAGTGTGGATGGTTCTCAGAACAGGTACGCTATGCTGGGATGTAGTGGGGCATACCTTTAATACCAGCACTTGGATCACTGAGGCAGGCAGCTCTCAGAGAGTTTGAGGCCAGCCTGCTCTTTAGAGTGAGTTCCAGGACAATTAGAGCTACATAGCAAGGCCCTCTCCTAGAAAAAAGGAATATGTATGTTACATATAAAAAGTATGGCCTTGTGATGGCTCATTGGGTAAAGGCACCTGCTGACAACCTGTACAAGGACAGAACCTCTGATCTTCATATACAAGAACTACGCATGCACCCCACATAAATGGTTTTGTTTGTTTGTTTTTTGTTTTTCAAGACAGGGTTTCTCTGTATTGCTTTGGAGCCTGTACCAAAACTAGCTCTGTATACCAGGCTGGCCTGGAAATCACAGAGATCCACCTGCCTCTGCCTCCTGAGTGCTGGGACTAAAGGCGTGTGCCACCAATGCCCCACATTAATGTTGTTTAAAAAAAAAAAAAATGAGACAGGGCTGGGCTGGTGAGATGGCTAAGCAATAAAGACACTTGCTACTAAGCCCGACAACCTGAATTCAATCCCTGGAACCTGTATGGTAGAGAGAGCCAATTTCCACAAGCTGTCCTCTGACCTACAAATGCACACCATTCATGAGTCCACACACAATGAATAAATAAATGTTTTTTTTAAAAAAAGCCTTTCAATAATAAAAATATCAGGAACAGGAAACTCCCCCCTCAAAAAAGAGTTCATATTGTCTAATTCTATTTATATAAAATTCTAAGAAATGCAAATTAATGATGGTAATAGCAGTACAGTGGTTAAAGGATTGGTAAAAGTGAGCTGAGCAAAACTCAGCAGGACCAGTGAATATGTCCATTACCTTGACTGCCCGCGATGGTCTCCCAAGTGCGCACAAAAGTCAAGGTTTATCAAACCGTATGCTGAATTAGATGTAACTTATCTCAATAAAGCATATTTTAAAACTAAATAAAAGAAGTTCCCATAGTGACCCAGCCTGTGATGCCAGCACTTAGGAGGTTGAAGTTATGGGAATGTAAGTTGGAGGCTAACCTGGGAGACACAACAGGAGAGAGCCTGTCTCAATCCATCACCCTCACAACTTAAAAATAACACACAACGGCCTCTTTATGTGCGTTGGATTCCATAACGTGAATCTTCAGGAAGCACATACTTCTCTGTAACAGGTGCATGAAGTACCAGGGCTGAGGGGGAGGGACGACTCTTGCTCCTTAGGCTGTGCCCACACTGCCCAGCCCCTAAACTATGAAGCTGGACAATGTAGGGTCTATTACTCCTCGCCCCTCTCCCCACCCCCAGTGCCGTCTTTTTGTCTCCTAAAGCAGCAGATTCTTACTTGTCTGGAAGAGCAGACAAGAGGGACAAAAGATTCAATGGCTATTTAACAGATTAAAGAATAGACAACTGTTTTATTTAAAAAGCTCCCTGAAGAATTAGAACATTTGAGTTCTATACACGGTTCTGTCGAAATGAAGTAAGATATTACCCAGCTCTGCAGGCACACGCCTGTCCAAGTCACTCATTTCCTACGAGTTCACAGTTTTCTTTTTATCGCCCATATTTTCGTTCCTGAACCACAAAGGAATGTCATTCGGGTGTATTTCTGAGGAGCTAATATTTTGAAAAGTCTCTTGTTCAAGTAAGTACACACCAACAGCTTCAAACCATTTTTCAAATGTCTCAGTTGGTGTCCACAAAACCGAAGCGTCATGAAGAGACTAGACAATGGTCTAGGAGAGGTATAAAACATCACTACCCTTATTTAAAAACCAGAGGTCACACCAGCGTTCAGCAACAAAATTACAGCTTACAAATAATTAGCAACAGTTACAGAACAATAACGGCAGCATAGTAATTAACATCCAGATTCTGGCTCCACCACTTGTGAGGGGAACATACGACAATTTGCTTAATTTTGACAACTCGGTTTAGAACCGGAGGGAGACCACCGCTGAGCTCATAGGCCCGCGACACTAAAATATATTATAGGCTGGCCTCTAGTTAGAGCAAAGTCAATGTCAGCAGTTGAGTCTTGTTACCGTGGAGTTTCAAAGGAGCCCATTAACTCACTAAATTCTCCTCCCGACCTTAGCTTCAAATCCTGTCCTATGGCGAGCACGTTACTTAGGAGCCTCAGTTTCCACATCCATAAAACGGGAACACACTAGTAACCAGAGGGAAGGATTCCACGACCAGCTAAGGTTCCCCTCCCTCCCACCTTTTACAGCGAAGATCACAGGGGTAAGGAGTACTCTCATCGGCAGCAGACGGCGTCAGTTTTCCCACATCTGGCACTTAGGCGCGAGGGCGAAGACGCGCAAGGGGGGCACCTAAAAGGGTCCTGCGTGAAGGCCCCGCGGTGGCTCAGGCGCCTCCCCGAGAGCGCGGGGTTATTTCGGAATCCCCAGGAGGCGACGCTCATGAGGCAATGGGTCAGGAATGCGGAGGCCGGCAGGGCCGCGGGTGTCCCCACGGGCATCCCGGATCCCGGGAGCAGGAACTTGGGGCGGCAGGAAATGAATGGGAACCCGCGGGCGGGGCGGTGGTGCAGCGGGGACGCCGGACCGGCGGGGAGACCGGGTGCACCCCCCCCTACGGCCGGGCAGCACGGAGGCGGCGGGGACCCAGGCCGCGGCCCGGCCCCTGCAGGCGGCTCACCTCCGCGATGTCATGTTCCTCCCGCCTCCGGCTCCGCACGGACCCGCTGCTCACTCAGGCTTCGCGAGGCGCCGTCACATGAGGGGACCCGAGCGAGGCCCCGCTGGGGAGCCGACACCAGTGCGGGCAGAGCCGGCCGGCCGCGCGCACAACCCCCTCCAGGCCTGGATCCCGGACACTGCGCGGCCGCCCCGCCGCCCGGCTCGCTCCGCCCCCGCCCCCGCCCCTTGCCGGCGGCGCCCATGTGACGTCAGCGCGTGCGCCGTCCCCTCCACTTCCTACTTCCGGCTTCTCGGGCCCTTCCCGGGGCCTTCCTCCTCTGAGCTTGTAAGGCCGTGCACCGGTCCGTTTCTCCTCAAAACCTGGGACGCGACACACCGGTGGGAGTACTCCGTGCCCCTCCAGGGCAGGCGCACATGTGGAAAGAAACAAACAAGCAGGGATCAGGGATGGAGAGGCGGCTCAGCGGTCCAGAGCGATTGATTGCTGCTGCCCTTGCGGAAGACCGGAGTGCGGTTTCCATTCCCTATATGGGGCGGTCCACAACCTCCTGTAATTACAGCTCCAGGGGATCAGCTGTCTTCTTCTGGGCTCCGCAGACACACTCAACGTGCACATACCTATACATATACATGTGGTTAAATGTTGTATGATTTATTCCTTTTGGGGCCCGGTGAGATAGCCCATTGGTTAGGAACACTGGCTGCTCTTCCAGAACTCAGGTTCAGTTCCCAGCACCCATATGTCAGATCACAACTCTCTGTAACACCAGTTCCAGGAGACTGGATATCTTCATACCATTGCACATAAAATAAACTTAATTCTTTTTGCCCAGTGGTGGAAGTACACTCATTCCTAGCACTAGCGAGGCAGAGGCAGGTGAATCTATGAGTTGGAGGCCAGCCTGGCCTACAAAAGTGAGTTCCAGGATAGCAAGAACTACACAGAGAAACCTTGTCTCGAAAAACAAAACAAAAATAGCTAGTGTTTAAAGGCTTAAACGCAGCCTTTCCAGCTGCCCCTGATGGTTTGGTTTAGTTTTGGGTTTTTTCTTTTTTTCGGGGGGGGGGTTAAGAAACAACCTATATATACACATAGCTTTTACATCTTGAAGTAAAGTTAGCACGAATTTCTTCGTTTTTTTCAGTATCACCCATATTGAATTAGCAATCCTGGCAGCGGTGTGTGTGTGTGTGTGTGTGTGTGTAGTGCGTATGTGTAAGTCAGAGGACACCTTCCTCAGGGTCCATACCTGGGATCTAACTCAGGTCAACAGTCCCGTGCTGAAAGCACCTTCATGCACAGAGCCATCTTGCTGCCCCTGTATGACTGTTTTAACTGGGGTAGTTAGTGTAGGCTTTTCTTTCTTTCTTTTTTCTTTTTATTTATTTTTTTTTCCTTTCCTTTTTTCTTCTTGGTTTTTCGAGACAGGGTTTCTCTGTGTCTTTGGAGGCTGTCCTGGAACTAGCTCTTGTAGACCAGGCTAATCTCAAACTCACAGAGATCTGCCTGCCTCTGCCTTCCAAGTGCTGAGACTAAAGGTGTGCACCACCACCACCACCCAGAAAGTGTAAGCTTTTCTTAACTGACATTTGAATATTTGTCAGGTAAAGGAGCAATCTGTGGGGAATAATTTAGCAGAATATCAATTCAAACAAAGAAAAAACTATTGCAAAGACCCTGACACAGAGAGAGGTTTTTGCCTGTACTTAGAAAACCCTGGAAAAGTCTTTGTGTGAAGTAGAAAGACAGTGAAGGAACATAAGGAGCTGAGCTTAGAAAAGGGTAGCGCTAGGCATGGTAGCACACGCCTTTAATCCCAGCACTCGAGAGGCAGAGGCAGGAGGATCTCTAAGTTGGAGGTCAGCCTGGTCTACAGAGAGAGCTCCGGTACAGCTTGTCTCAAAACCAAACCAAAAGTGTGAGGATGTAGAGACTGAGACTGTAGCTCAATGGCAGACTATTTGATTTCTGCACAAGGTTCTGCACCCTATGTCCATTATATAAAAATACAGGGGATGTCCAGGCATGGCAGCTGAGCCTTTAATCCCAGCACTCAGGAAGAGGAGGCAGAAGCAAGAGGGTCTCTCAGGGTTCACAGCCAGCTTGTTCTATCTTTAGGGAGAGTTCTAGGCAGCCAGTGCAACATAGAGACATTGTCTTAAAAGATATATATATAAAGGGGAGGAGAGGATAGTCATGTGCTTCGGTTCTATAGGCTATCGGAAGCTTTGTCTTATACTCAGGAAATGGAGTTTCATGGTAGAAGGTGGGAACCAGTTCCTGAAATCTGTCCTTTGACTGCCTCTTCTGTCTACACATCAACACTCATATACACACATTATACACACTCACACACATACACACATAACACATACGTGACACATACACACATCACACACACTCATATACATACACACACCTCATACATTCCCACACATCACATATAACACACCACACGCATACACATACATACACACATCACACACACATACACACTTGACACATACGTGACACATATCATTCACTCACATACACATACATACATACACACATCACACACACTCATATACATACATACACCTCATACATTCCCACACACATCACATATAACACACCACACACACATACACATACATCACACACACATCTCACATGTTTACACACATCACACACACATACCCACATCACACACAAACATCACACACATTCACACACAAAACACATTGAACTCATACATGTTCACATGCATCACACGTTTACATACAGACAGCCCACATACAATACTCATTCACATCATATATCACACACATTGCTCACTCAAATCACACATCACACTCACATATATACCCACACCACACTACCCACATCACTCACTCACACACACATCATACATTCCCACATACACATCCCACACACACTGACACACATTCCCATATACACATCCCACACACACTGACACACATACACACACACCGCACACACATCACATGTTCACATACAAATTTAAAGCCAGTGGTTCCAGCACTTGGAAGGTGGGGGTAGAAGGATCAGGAGTTCAATAACTTTCTTGGCTGCATAATAGTTCAAGGCTAGCCTGGAGTGTAAGTGGTCCTGCCTGAGATGAAAAGAACTTAGTTGGCTTATATTCCAATTAATGTACATAGCATATTCATAAGCGTTGGTGGCACACACCTTTAGTTCCAGCACTCGGGAAGCAGAGGCAGGCAGATATCTCTGTGAGTTCAAGGCCAGCTTGGTCTACAGAGCTAGTTCCAGGACAGGCTCCAAAGCAATACAGAGAAACCTTGTCTCAAAAAACAAACTGTTTAAGCACTTACTCATCCACTTAAATCCTGGCTACAGAAGAGGTAACATTAACTTAATACCTTGACTCTTAGACGCACGCAAATGTGCCACCAATCCTAACCCTTTACTCAAACTCCAAATGACTCTCTTCTTTTTCTCCTTTCTTTCTTTTCTTCATTCTTTCTTGTTTTCTTCTTCTTGCTTGCTTACTTTCTTGTTTTGTGTTTTTGTTGTTGTTGTTGTTTTCTGTTTTGCTTTTCAAGAGTGGGTTTCTCTGTGTGACAGCTCTAGAACTCGCTTTGTAGACCAGGCTGTCCTCTAACTCACTGAGATCTGCCTGCCTCTGCGTCCCTAGTGGCTTGCTCACTTTTGAAACAGGGTTTCATGTAGGTCAGAATAGTTAGCCTCAAGCTCACCATATAGCCAAGACTAGCCTTGAACTCCCAGTCCTCCTCTCTCTCCCTCCCAAGGAGCACTGGGGTTATAGGCACACATTTCGACCCTCCACTGGGATGTTGAGGTTGAGCCCCAGAGCCAATCACACCCTAGTCAAGTACTCTATCACTGAGCGACAGCCCCCAGCCCCAGTTTCTTCTTATTGTTCTCCTAACAATACAGGAGGATAACTATGTTCATTGGACCAGACGCTATACATTATCTAAAGTAGAATCAAAGTATGTGGGAAATATGTCTAAGTTCTATGGCTGTGCCATTTACAGGCAGGATATAAACACCTTTGGGGAGGGATACTCTCTCAGCCTAGATGCACAGGGGAGGACCTAGGCCCTCCCCCCCAATGATGTGACAGGCTTTGATGATCCCCCTTGGAAGCCTCACCCTCCCTAGGGAGTGGATGGGGTTGGTGGGGAGCTTGGGAAGAAGGGAGGGAGAAGGAAACTGGGATTGACATGCAAAATAAGATCATTTCTTAATTAAATTAAAAAAATATGCACCTTTGGGTTCAGTGTTCTGCTGGGGCCCCTGAACTCGTGGCATGGACACTGAGGAATATGTGATCTCATCTACAGGACAGCCCCAAAACTCTTTACCCTGAACCCTTCCTTAGCTCTCCATTGCCTTTAAGGTGTGGGTCAAATTTTTGGAACAAATCCATAGTGTAATAATTCCTGATCGCCTCTCCAATCCCTCATCTCCCCACCACTCACCTCATTCTCTAAGACACTCCCTGGATGCTGAGTGACTTCAGCAACTTCCTCCCCCCCCCCCCAAACACACACTGTGAAGTAATCTACTTCCTCTCCCTGGTTTTCCCAGGTTTCTGCCTCTAACCTCAGACTGAAGGCGACTTCCTCTAGGATAAGAAGCTTCTCCTATCTCCATGGTCCAAAGACAGCTGTTCTTGCTGAGAATTCCTTCTGGACCCTTCGTTGGGGATCTAAGAGAAAGGGTTACAGGAGAGTTCATTCCTGCATCTGCCCACATGGACATTACAGGCAAGCCAAAGGGCTTCCTTAGGTCAGTTTCCCTCTCTGCCCTAAATGGTTAATATGTGAGGTACTTAGAATGATGCCTGGTAGATGAAGTTCTTGGTAACCATTCTCATCCGTACCCTTTCTTCTCTTTTCTCTCGTGTGTGTGTGTGTGTGTGTGTGTGTGTGTGTGTGTGTGTCTTTTTGGTTTTGTTGTTGTTGTTGTTGTTGTTTGAGACAGGCTTTCTCTGTGTAGTTTTGGAGCCTGTCCTGGAACTCCTTCTGTACACCAGGCTGACCTCGAACTCACAGAGATCCTCCTTCCTCTGCCTCCCAAATGCTGGGATCAAAGGCAAGAGCCACCACCACCCATCATCAGCTCCTTTTCAAAGCTCTTTGAATGTGGAAAACACTCTAGGCTATCTACAGTCTGTGCACTCTATAGAGAGCTATCTAAATCTATCTAGAACACAAACAGAAC